CCCCAAAACCCCAAAACCCCAAAACCCCAAAACCCCAGAATAGATAACAATATTATTTAATAGAATATATCTAGATTATGAGCAACAAAAAGACGGATAAAAATAGCGACGATGAGAACTGGGAGAACTTTATTCGCTATAATGTTGATAACAATGACCAAGAAGATATCGAAAGCCCAGTAAAGAGGAGATATGGCAAATAAGCTTGATTCTACAATGGATATTGAGGAAGGATCTCAGGATGAAGAATCTAATAGTGAAGAGGAATATGACCAAGATCTTAGTAAAAGTGTCAAATATGTATCCTCCTGCTGAACGTATATCAGAGACTCTATTGAAAAATACACAAAGCTTATATCTTTTGCTAGTCACACCACGTTGCTGTTGAATAAGAATGCTATCTTAGCTCGTAGGAACAAATCCCAAATATTTTATTTGGGGTGAGTACCAATGCTTTTATTATGGCTTGTTAGATTCTTTCAGACATTAGCTGATGACTTCACTGATTATAGAGTGGTAGACCACCCTATAAACCAGCTTGATCATATCGAGAGATGAATTCATGAATCAGAACAATGCGTAACAGTTGGGTATGGAATAATAGTAAGGATTAGTCTGACAACTTAGGGAGATGCCAAAGAGAAGTCAGGAAAATACAATTGGATCCATAATTCGATGAAGCATCTAGCCAAACTCAACAATCTTAAGTTTGGAGAGGATGTCAAAATGATATCTTTGGGGAACTCTCTTGATTTTAGAGCTTATATTGATAAAAATCTCAACAAGACACTGTTCGGAGTGTTATTTTGTACAACAGACTGGAGTACTAAAATGGATGTTTCTAATACTACTTTTTCAGAATATTCAGATTATGAGGAAGTAGGATTTAGTGTCCCTTGTACTTCTGGAAATCCTGACAGGCAAATGTATATGTACTCTGTTGTATATAACTATTCGTTGATACCTTATGGTTTGGAAACATTGACAGATGCATATAGATGGAATAGTTTGACTACTATTAAGAATAGTGTTGATAATGGAATTCTGAGGGAATTACATAAGCAAAAGACTGGATCTTATAAAAATGCACCAGAAATCGTAGTTAGCGAAAGCAGGTACCCATCTCTTCCTGATCGTGCTCATGATGGTTTTGATGCGAGTGCAGTGTTCGGCTCATTGTATTTCTTTGTTCCTTCTTTGACAATATTTTCTACAATTTTCTCTTTGCTTTTAAGAGAAAAAGTATTAAAGCTGAGAGTAGGTTTGCATGTATTTGGCCTATCTTCTGCCTCTCATTGGACAGCTTGGGTTATTACAGCAGTGGCATACTCCTGAATTCCTGCAATAATTTTTCCATTGTTCGGAGACTATTTAGGAATGGGGGTGTTTGCAAATTCTCCTTACTTAATGACATTTATGTTATTCTTCATTTGCTCATTCTCTATGACAACTGTGGCATTCTTTGGATCTACTGTGGTGGGTGATGAGACGACTGGATATGTATTCTCCTTTGTTATTATCTTATTCTCTGTATTGCTTCTGATAGTATTGCATAATCCAATAACTGCTTACTTTATTTTCTTCAACAATAACTCAGCATGGTGGGTGAAATATGTCTGTGAGATCTTTCAGTTAATACCAGCTTTTAATTTTGTTCTTCTTTATGGTATGATCTCAAGGATTGCTTGCAATCATTTCGATGGAGGAGCTATGATGCAGATTCAAGCGAGAAGAGTGACATGGAATGATCTCTTCGTCAAACCAACTGGGAGCTTCGCAATGGGTGAGAAATATCTAGTCCCTTGCCCTATGGATCTTCTGGTTAGAATATGTATAAATATGGTGATATATTCAATTTTGACTTGGTACTGTGACCATATTATGCCTAATAATAGAGGAAGAACGCACTCCTATTTCTTCTTCTGTAAGTTTTCTTACTGGTTTGGTAAAAGCAAGAAATCTTTAAATGAGACGAATTCCAAAAGAAGAAGAAGACTTTCTTCAATCGAGCCGTATGAGCTAAAGCAAGGTACTTGCAAGAATTCATATATTGAAGAAAAGAGACAAATCCAAGAAGATGAAAGTAAAGATGTTGAATGAGAAGGATTAAGGATCAACGGATTAACTAAAGTTTATAGAAAGTATCCCTTAGGATGTAAGAGTACATCTGACCTCAAGGCACTTAGAGGTGTCTACTTTGAAGCTAGGGATGGAGAATTACTGTCGATTCTTGGTCATAATGGAGCTGGTAAGACTACCCTCATTAATATCCTCACCGGTCAGCTCAATCCTTCAGGAGGAGATGCAAGGGTAGGAAACCTTAAAATTTCGAAAGATATGGAGATCATTCGTAAAGATTTAGGAATCGTTCCTCAATTTGATATTCTTTGGGAGAGGATGACTGTAGAGGAACACCTAAGGCTCTTCTGCCATTTGAAGGAAATACCTGAAAAATTGATTAATAATATGATTAAAAGTACTTTGATCGATGTTGGGCTACAGAACCAAGCTGATAATGAAGTAAGAACTCTTTCTGGAGGAATGAAAAGAAGACTCTCTATAGCTATTAGTGGTTTAGGAAATCCTAAAATTATCATAATGGATGAGCCAACTACAGGTCTTGATCCTGTAAGTAGGAGGAAAGTCTGGGAGCTTATTCAGAAACTGAAGAAAGATCGTGTTGTAATCCTTACTACTCATTCAATGGAGGAAGCTGATATTTTAAGTGATAAGATAGTAATTATTGCTTCTGGAAAAATTCGATGCCTTGGCACACAATTGTCATTAAAACATGAGTTTGGAGAAGGCTATACTGTATCTCTCAACTGAGATCTTGAGAATTGTGAACTAATAAAAAGAAAGATAGCTGAATTTATTCCAGAGTGTACTCTCAAGGAAGAAAATGGAGGTTCTTTAAAATTCTCAATTCCATCAGAAAAGATGACTTCGTCAAGAGCTTTCTTCTCTTTACTTGGAAATACAAGTAAGAATAAACTACCAGAGGTCAACTATGACGATTGTCCAGAAGTAGTTCCAGCTTCAAGAGAAATCAGAAGTATTGATGATATAAAACCCTATATTCATGATTGCGGTATTTCACATACCACATTAGAGGAAGTATTCTTACGCGTGACGAAAGAAAAGTAAAACTTATAAATCAATCAAACAACTCAATATTTTATTACCCCTCAGGGGTTTTGGGGTTTTGGGGTTTTGGGGTTTTGGGGTTTTGGGG